TGATATTTTCTGAAACTTCAGATTGATAAAAATCGGACAAAATAGATATTGTAAGAGTCTATTGACAATTTTTCTCTAAATCAAATGACAGAGATTGTTAACATGGCTAGGTGCAACGTTAGAATTGTGACGCTTAAGCGGTTCATTTTTCTTCTAGAAAGAAAATCAAGAAATTTACTTGATTTTTTCCTTCATCAGTTCTTCATCTAAGTATGGTGTACAGCTCTTTATGAAGGAATCACATCTAAATTCATATGGAGATAACTCTGCGTTACATAACATACTTCCCCACCAGAATCCAAGACAGAGAAGAGAAGAAACTAATGAATTGATTTCTACTCTAGAAACCTATTACTTTTAGTCTTTCTGTGTTTGTTCAGAGAATTCTACGAAAGATAAAAATAGAATTTCAGAAAGAAATTCTAAATATTTCAAATTTTCATATCGTTTTTAAGTTTACAATGTACTAACTGAATGGTTTTATATAAGAATGTTAGAACATTGATAATCAGTCTTTCTCAGGTGAAAAGCAGGTCATATACTATATATCAAAAAGTGTGTTGATATCAATCATTAGTGTTTTTATTTTTTATTTTTTTCTCGATATATTCAATAATAATATTGATATTGTTGAATTTTAAACTTATTGTTGTTATATCGTTACATCATTTGTTGTATACCGTATATATGTCACATCACGATATATCACAAGAGAACAAATTGCAGAAGCCCATTATTCTCATTTTTCTTTTTCCCTTTATTCTTTATTTTCGTATCATTTTATGTTCGGTTGTTAAAATTCATTATTATTCCACTTCAAGCAGACTTTACAATACACACACACACACACCGGTATTTCCTTTTATTTCTTCTCTCTTGCAACATTACGCAATTTTTTTTCTTCTATATTGTTTGCCAATATATTTCTGAGATTGTTTAATGAGTTATATGTTATTGAATAGAAGAAGTATGCCACCACACCAAGTTATACAATGTCTATATGTGTGTGCGATATCAATCAGACACATACACACATAAAGTACAACCTGTAGGAATAAAATAAGAGAAAAAAACTCCTGAATTTCAACAGCACAATAACACATTAATAATTTAGTTGAAAATTGTATGTTGCACAATAAAATATACAATAAAAACAAAAAATATAAGAAATACTCGATTCGAAGAGGAGAAATTTCGAATGATTTCCTTGATAGGTGTTTTTTTAAGACTATTTCCTTAACTAGTTCATAGATAAACTGCTGAGAGTCGTATTGTCGATATCTTAGATTGAAAACATCAAAAAACTGGTTAAATGGCACTTCATTCAGATTAGTTTTTGACTGTAGCCATTAGTCATTTGATGTTCTTTGATTAAAAGTAAAGTTAACAAGTCACCATATTTTATATAGAATAATCTACCTTGTCTCTACACATTCAGTTTATCGTCACACTTTCTAGGAGAAAAGGGACTGGAATCCACTTGGATAAAACTGGACCGTCTAATATCGATGTTGACGTGTCAAATCGTCATTTGACACAAAGTGGCGAAGTTGAAACACCCATTCTTAGAGTTTTAGATTAATATAAAATCTAAAATCGCATATTATCAAAATAACATAATAACTGCATATGGGTGCGCGGCAGAATATGTTCTTCTAGTCATTTCTGTATTAGCTGTGTTTAAAAAACTTGTGCTACTGTGTACTCATGACTGTTTGTCAAATAAAACCTATCTACCTAACAATACTTGCTAACTTCGAAAATAGTTAGACCGTGTCATCAGAATAAGAAATCATTACTACTGTGGTAACGGCTGCTATATCAATCGGACAGGAAAGAAGGTTAAACTGTGCGTAAAGAGTTTTAGAGCTACCCGTTTGTGTGGAGGATTCCGTGAAAGGAAGAGCACTGTCTTCTCTTCAAAAATCGCTTGCTATTTGATTAACAATTGTCCATGATGCGGTAACGCTGTTAATTTTACCTGGAATAACTTTTTATTACGTTATAACTTTGATGAATTAGTTGTGATGGTAGTAGTAGTGCAATGAGCAAATATACTTAGTGACTGAATAATTCTTTCTTCTTGTTCATGCTCGATCAAATTCAATTGATCTGATTTCAATCAACTGACCTCTCTCTAATATTACGTTATGTTTATTTATCATTGTTCACAAAATTCAAAAAATAAATAACCTTCAACTTTTTTGACCCTTACTTTTCTCCTCTTTTCTTCTCCACCTCCTTATCCGCTACTCTTGTTGATTTGTTCTTGAAGAAACACAAAGAAAAAATATACATTCTAGTTCTATGCACACATACACACTCAATATATCTATACATTGAACATAGTTATCAATCGCGATCCGAATAAATAAATAAAAAAAAACTCGGCACATTTTTGACTTCAATTGAACAATCTTTTCTTTCGTTTCTTCTTTTTTTTCTTCTCTGACAACAGATCGTCCTCGTCCTTCTTCTTTTGAACACAATTGAAGTGATTCCTTTTTTTTTCTTTGAATATTTCGTTCTTCATTTTCTTACATAATATTATTTTGCTACTTGGTTATTGATAGATATATAGCACTATTATTTTTTCGAAAGAAAAAAGATGATGTTTTTTACTTAAATGATTAACAACTATAATCGTGTAGTTTATAGTCGATTCCATTTAATATACTCATATATGAAAAAAATATCAATTTATCATTTTCATATAAATAACTGCTGTTTTTGAGTCCATCATTCAACTCATGAATAGCTGAGGTGAGTAATCACAAAGAAGAGATTCTAGTAAAACTCTTGTAATAAGGTCCTTAACTTATAATATTTTAGTAAAATGTTGGTAAGAGAGCGTAATAATTTAAGAAATTTCAAGAAATCAAGGTCTGTAGACCTTGATTTCTTGAAATTTCCATCATGCAAGTAGAACTTCTTGTAACATATATGTTACAAGAAGTTCTATTTGGATGACGGTCACTGCTCTTCTGAGACAATCCTTTTTCGAGTTAGAGAAGAACAAAAAACCAGGAGGTACAAGAAGCCGACGTAGCTGAATGAGTTCAAATAAGGTTAGTTCAGAAATAAAGGTAATATGAAACATAAGAGAACATCAGTTTGCTAAGAGTCATTAAGTTGAAATCACTCAAGTAATGTATTCTAGCAAAAGTAGGATTCGAGTGTACGCATCGCATCTACGTTATTAAAAATGTATCAGTTACTCGCGCGAAAAGAACGTCTTTATCCGAATATAAACCAAAAAACTACTTTTTTACTCTGATACCTATAATAATTTTGACTTGTGTTCAATTACTTGTTGAATTTATCTAAAAATTAATTGAAATTGTTTTCCAATTCACATCACAGAATCGGAATTTTGACTTAACAAATTCACGTAAATCCACTCTTCGTGCAAATTTTTATAATAAAACTCGTTTTTTTTGTTCAATCATTTATAACGATAACGGTCATTTAGTGAATCACTAGAAAACGTGATATGTTTATTTCCTTGTCTCGTCTTAGTCAATGCTCTGTTCTTTGTCTTTTTTTAAGTTTGACTACATTTTCCGACTATATGGACTCCGATTATATCGTTCTCACTGAATATCAAAACATGTGTGAATGATTCACTTTTTTTAAACCTATAGTCTATACTCCTCACAAGTGTTAAAAAGACAGAAAAAAAAAATGAAACAGAGACAAATGGTAAATTTAAATATTTGAGAGTCCAAGAGTTAAAGTAGGTGTATACGATATTTTAACATGATGATATAAGAGATGGAAGATATTTTCAATCGTTTTGATCATGTTCAAAAACAAAACAATACAAAAGGGAAGAGAGAGAGAAAGAGAGAGAGAGCAAGGGACGAGGATATACAATGAATAATAAATGAAGTATGTATTTATGATACGTGAAAAAGAATTTGTTCAACAAAACTGTATAGATATGTATTGTGCAACGATGCTTGTTGAACAAACGACAAATATTCATTGAAATATAAACAGTTCAGAGAGGTGAGAGAAACATACACGAGTTTCATTCTTCTTCTATGGATGGAATTGATTGCATGATCAATTTCAGTATTATAAACTATTAAAAATCTATTTAAAAATACGTGATCAAATCAATAAAAGTAGAGAAAGAGAAGGAGAGAGAGAGACACAGACAATGATGAGGATGTATAGAGTTATATAAAGGCAGAAATATTCAATTTCAAATGAAAGTCTTGCATTGTTGAATTATTATAAAACAAAAAACAAATTATTGTCATTGTTGTATAAAACTAGTATTACCACAGTCTTTGTTAAAATAACTAACCTGATAATGTGACAAAAGATTCTCAGCTTATCAATATAAAAGAATTTTCATGATTTTATTTGTTTAATATTATTGTTGTACTTCACTTCTTTTCTTTTTTTTTTAAGTCAAAGTAAGTCGATCTAATTGTTTTTTACATCACTAATATCATACGACTACATCAGACTAGATAAGATTCGTCGACAAAATTCTTCGATTTCATCTCAAACATTTTCTACGTTATTAGCCGCTAGATTATCTGCTTCCGTTTGATAAATATCTTTTTTCATATCAAATGATTAATACAAGCTCAAATTACGATTTTTGTGATCTACGTGGCGAATGTTTGAGTTGTCGGTCTATTGCAGATTTTCATAGAGTAGTATTTAAACTTTTGAAATTGAAAATGATTGATGCACTTATTCTGACATTCTTCATAGAGAAACTACTATGATGTAAAAGAGGACGGTGTTACTTGACATACATTCTATCATCCTACCTTTTAACTGTTCATTAATCATTTACTGATATCATCAATCTCAATTTATTTTGAGCACACTTGATATCTGTACTCTGTTTTAGATAAATATGTTGATTATTTTATCTTGTCCGATTTAAATGTACACGAATCATTTTGATTTTTTCTATCATTTTTTTTCTTATTCGTCTTATTTTCATCGTTATTATTCTAACAAATATCAATTCAATGATGAGTTCAATACAATTTATCATTGTCATTGTTGTTGATATATTTATTTTGCATGGTACACATGCACTTTCAGGTATGAAATAATATCAAGGTTTATTGATTATACAGTATTAAATTAAATACTCTAAAATTTTAGTATCAAAACATCGTGAAGATATATTTGAATTTTTTAATCAAATTAAAGATCAAGTAAATGAAGGCAAACGTATGTATATTGAAATAATAAAGTTAAAATTGATATAATTTTAATATTTATTTTTTCTATTTTCTCATTTAGAATGTTTACCTGGATCAATGTTTTATCAAGGTTCATGTTATTCTTATATAAGTAATCTTCGTGCATCATCATGGGATACAGCAGTTAAAACTTGTGCAGCATTTAATTCAAAACTTATAATTGGTAACTCAAAATTATTAATTATAGAAACAATTGATGAATATAAATTTGTTGAACAATTAATAAGAAAACATTTGGATCCTCATAAAACAATATTTGTATTTATTAATTTACGAAAATTAAATGGTACATTTCCTCCTGTCTATGCTTGGGGATCAAATGGTGGAATTTATTTATGGGATACACCTGTCTATAGATATTGGAATGAAAATGTTGGTGGTCCATCAGATAGTGATTGTGGAATTATGAGAATAATGAAAAATAAAACAGATTTATCCAATTCATTATGTGATGGACCAGTTATATCATTGCCATACATATGCAAATATAGTATGTTAAAAAGTAATTATATTAAATTGTATGAATCATTTTTTCTCAATTATTTTAGCTATCGATCGATGTTACAATAATAGTGCATGTGGAAAATATGGTACATGTTTGAATGTACCATTGTTAGATTCACACAAATGTCAATGTCGATTTTTATATTCAGGAAATAAATGTGAAAAATGTATGTATTATATATATATATTACTCTTAGTTATTTTTTTCACTAAATCGTAAATATTTCAAAAAAAGATTTATTTTTGAGCCATAACATTTCTTATTATTTGACTGTTTAAAATTTTAGATATTCAGAATAGAGTTCATCAGTTTAAAAATAGACAGGTTATAAATTGATATTGTGTTTATCTTTTCTTTTTTTTTTGTTGGGTGATGGATACTTAGTATGCTAACTATCATATGGTTGTGGCTTAGTGTCCCGTAATTGTTAAAAAAATATATAAATCTTTGTTAAACAAGTTTCATATTTTGTTTTTTTTTTCATTATGTTTTCCAGGGAGTAGTCAAGGTTTACAGGCTCTTATTGGTGCTGCTATTATTTTAATTGCATTTATTACATCTTATATAATTAATATGGATCGTTCCGGTACTGATACATGGTCATTTCGATGTGCTGAATTAGAACAATATCAGACGTAAGTCTTTTTTAACTCTTTATTTAAATAATTTATTAAATGATCGATTTGTATTATATTATTTTAGTGCATCATTGTATACATCAAAACCACTTATGAAACATCGTACATATCTTTTGAATTCTACAGTTAATCATGTTATTCGTAATCCAATATTAAATCAACAATTTACCGATATAACAACAACGACAACAATTGATGAATTATCATATCCATCTCCTGCAGTGGCTTTAAGACGTCATGATACACTTATTCGTCCATTTGAACGTAAACAACGTTATTATGCATTTCGTCGTTCTATTCAAAAACTTCAAATTAAATCTTGTTTCAAAGATTTATTTATTAAACCAAAAAAATTAATATTTGTTTTTTTACCAATAGTATTGGCAATTGTTTGTTGTCTATTGATCATTATTTTACGTCGTTACATTAAATCTTATTTGTATTCATCACATTCATCTCATTCAACATTATTTAAATTTTGTTCATTATATGAAAATAATTATTACATTAATCTTGTTACATTACCCATTGCATTTGTTCTCATTCTTCTAATTACATTTGAAAAAGGTCTGTTTCGTTTACAATTACCCATACCCTATAATCCATTTAGGTATGTCATTTTCTTTTATTTTTTTATTATTTTTCTTATGAAATATACTCATATGTTTTATATTCTCTATTTTTTAGTAAAATTAATCGTTTTGATACTGTTGCATTATGTGGCATTATTTCACATGAAATATTACATATAATTGAAGAATTATTTATAAATACAACTCAAATAAAAGTGATAACAATGCGTGGACCATTATTTGATTTAATTCGACAAATTGGTCTTGTTATTATTATCGGTATGAGATATTATCCAATTTATTCAATTGTTGAAATGAATCAAGCAAACATTATTTATTATGGTTTATGTTCTGTGTATATGTGGATTGATTTTACATTAAAAATATCTGAACAAGCATTATGTTCAAATATTGGACCTTTTATTAAAACATGGAATAAATTTCATCAATTAAAACATAATTTAACACAAAAACATCCATGGAATGATATGAAACATAAAGTTAAAGAACATTTTGTTCGAAATTCAGAAATTGAAGATGATGACTATATTACTTCGACCATAATTACAACTACAACAACAACTCAAGTAAGATGATTCTTCTAAATATCAATTTTTAGTACATATTTTGTTTATTTTCTTATTCTAGTTTTCAACAACATTTGATCCGTCATTATCATCTTTAAATGAGTACAATTGGTCTCATGTATTTCGAAATCTCTCATTTCCTATAAATCGTAATCATTCAACATCAACATTTGATCAATTTGGTTTAGATTCAACTGTTATTGGAACTTTAAAATATTTACCATACTATTTATGTTTAACTTATATTTGTTTTCGTTTAACTTATTTATTTTTTCGTGAATTATCTAAATGTTTACAAAAATGTATTCCAAGATCATCATCATCATCATCATTAAATCAAAAATCAAAAAAACATATTTATCAAGAGCCTAATGTACCATCAACATTACATCAATTAACAATTGAATATCGATATGTTCAACATTTATTTCGTAAAACTCGTCGAAAATTACAAAAAATTAAAAAAGTATCATTTATTCAAAATATTCTCTATCGTATTTATCGTCCAAATAAATATTTTCATTATTCAAAACAAATTTTGAATATGTATATTATTGCCTTTATGATTACGTATTATTTAACATTTAATATTTTACAAGGTGGATTTTATTTAATTGAAAAATGTTATCGATTATTAATTATACCCATTATACTTACATTTGATGAACTTGATTTACCAAAACCACGACCATTTAATTTAAAATATGAAATTCTTATTGCTTGTTTTTTAACAATGATGATCTATTATGTGCAATTATGTGTTGGAATGAAACATTATCAACAACATATGTTAAATGCATACAAAGGTATATATTAAATAACAGATGATAATTGTCTCTAGTTAATAAAATATTTTATCTTATTCTAGGAATATTCATTGATATTCCACCACGACATGCCTTTAACAGTATTCAATTGATATCTAAAAATGCCCATTATCCAGGTTATACAATAGCTTATTTAGCATTTGGATATTTAGTGATGGGCAATGTTCTCTTTTTAACTGTTATTATTATAAGAATATTATTTAAACATTTATTTCTTATTGAAGAACTTAGCAAAATTATTATACCGATATTAGTCATTTATTTATGTAAATATATTCTTATGTGGGTTCTTAGTAGAACATTATTTTTACAACATAAGTAAGTAGTTCATACAAAAATAATAGGATGGATAATATTTAAATATATATATTTTTATTTTTTTATTTGTTTTAGTGGTAAAATGATGGCATTAAAAAATTTACGTATTTATTATGTATTTGCTTATTTTAACTTTTTTTTCGATTGTTTTTTGGGTATGGTATCATGTGCTCTTCGTGTTACAAAAGCATCAATAGCCGCTTTAATTTATTTACCACGTCTTGATTATTGTATATTTGGTAGAAGTTTAGAAAAATTAGATCAAGGTTTTATTTCTTATGCATCTTTTATTCATATGGAATGTTTACATACACATCCTGTTCTCATTATTTATTGTTCATATATTCAAGAACGTTTACAAGAACGACGAATTTTACTTAGTTATTATAAAAAAGAAGCAAATGTTCGTGAAGAATTATATGCATATACAAGACAACGTTTTGTAAGATTTCGTTGGTGTCTATTATATACATTAATAAGAAATGAACATTTAAAACAATTTCGTAAACATCATGTAGACAATTGGAATATGACATCGGCTGAAAGTTTTAATGAATTTTTACAACGAACAGTATTTAAACGATTTCAAAATACATCATTAAAATCATTAGGAAATTTAATGATTAAAAATCAAGTGACAACAACAACAACAATGAATGGAAATAATAGTGGTGGTGTATGTACAGCACTATTGTTAGAAAATAATGATGATCAATTAATGCCAAAACGACAATTATACAAAACATTGTGAGAATGAGAACGTTATTACGCTTATACACAGTCTTTCATACGTTTTTTTTGTGTTTTGTTTTTGTTTGTGGTATTGTAACAATTTCTGCGATCTCCAAAAGTGTCCTGGGTGCTATTAAACGTTTTAGTATTTCTCTTTTTTTAAATATCTGCACGATTTTCTACTTTTTTTTTCTTCTTCTATTCTCTTTTAGTCCTTTTTCTTTATGCTATGTGATAGTCTCATCACATACTTTGTTCTTAATTGCTCAAAAATAACAAAACATTACGTGTTTCACAGTCAGTGTGTATGCTCAAAATTGTTTTGTTTCATATGCAAGAGTGCATTAAAATGTTGTTTTAGGTTCAATTTATGAACAGTTTCTCGTCGTTTTGTTTCTTTTTTGTTTTTTCAACTTCAATGCGTTTTTCAGTTCCCTTTGTAAAACATTTTCTTTTTATGAGAGGAAAAGTATTTAGTACAGTATTAACGCCTTGCTCCCCGAGTCCGGTTAGATATAGAGACATTGACAGTTTCTGTTTATTGTATACACTTCTTTTTTTTTTGCATAACTTAACTAATTTGTTTTTGGTTAATTGAAAATATTATGCACTTTGTTCTTCTCTTATGTTAAATACCGTTATTCGATAATATAAAAGAATATGAAACTATATAGCAGTATATGTATATCTGTTTTCTTTTCTATTTTTGCAATAAAAATACAGACGGAGAATAAAACATAGATGTTACTGTTTTATTTTCAAATATTCTGTTGAAAATAGTCGAACGATGTTCATCTTACGGAATAAAAAAGTTTTTCTAAGACATTTGATTATTAGATATCAGAATGCATTTAGCAGAAAAAACTCGTCGACTATTCTCTTACTTAAATTAGAAAGTTCATATATATGGTTTTATCTAGCGTCAATTATTGAACAAGTAAGTTTTGTGTCCTGTCAATGCTCTATCACGTGCCTACAAAATTAATGTTTGAAATATAGTCTAATCTATTTATGTTTCTATATGACGTAAATAGTATGTTGACTATGTTGATATTTCTGATCATACTATCTGTAGTTTCATTAGACTCGAGAAAACAATGTTATATTAGTCTTAATATTCAAAACAATTTTAATAATTCAAACGTCTATCATATTGAATTTATCTATAATTTTGCACAGTTTAATATACGAGCGTACGATGAAAAACCAACAAATAATTTTAAAGTCAATTTTATTCGTACGAATAGTGATAATGAACCGTTATTTGTAAAACGAAGAAATATCACTGATATTAACAAATTAAATGTTCAAATTTTACACGGTTTTGCTTTAAATAAGCCGAGAAGCCGATTTATAGCAATATTCAAAGGTCACCAGGTAGAAGGTATTCTTTAGTTAAACTTACAGACAAAAAGTGCGCCAAATTTCTGATCATCATTCAAAGTTAAGTTGATATTCGGATTGTCCAGATTTGAGAGTTGTTAAGCGCGAGGTTATATTTCGTTAACAGACATCTGACATATCTTCACACATAGCCTGATATGGTTCTTGAAAGTTATTGATAAATAAATTTATTTTTAAGATCAATTCATTACTTGCGTTTGAATGTAGTATAGGAGTGGGACAGTTCCAGTTCGGTTCTTTTAAAAAGAACGTTCAGCATTTTCCGTTCTTAGAGCGAGAACAACTAACCAGTTCTTTCTACCAGGTTTCATGAACATTACGAACTGAAACTGTCCCGCCTCTAATATACTAGATGAAAATGCATAAGCGTAGAAAGAATATTAATGAAAACTGATGTTCGCACCAAATAATGATAAATAAGTAGATGAATGTTCGATTTCGTAATGGAGTCTGGTTCATTTTTGTTGTAAGTATTAAATAAACATTCGACAAAATTCCTGAACGTTTTTAAAAAAGCTAAAACACTAATTTTTCTGAACTTCTGTTATTTTAGTGAGATAACGAACCAAAAACAGGTTTCAATGATGCAGATTTTTAGAGAAAGAGATTTTTCTGTGGGCAACAAACACCATTGCATAGGTTTTTCCGTAATGAAATATTCAAATAAGCTATTTTAAAACTAAAGTTAACATTCATACGAATAAAGTAAACGAATCCGTTTTTTTTTAAAATTATTTATGCTTTTCCGAAAGTTTTACCCTTTTTTTGGTGTTTTTGAGATAAAACAATGATACGAACAGAAATTTGAAAAGATTCGACTGTTCTGTGTCCTTCCCATATATGGTTAGAGCAATTTAAAACCAACATGGTTTCTGCAGCTCCTATAGGAGACAAGAAAAGTTTGTAACGTTAAATGCTCCAGTTTGATCCATGCCTAGACGACACTTCCTGAACGCTAATAAAAAGCATTTTAAAAATTATGAGGTAAAACAAACATAATTTTATCAACTATTAATGTTGAAAAGTATTTGAGTATCAAATGAATGTGACTAGATACTATCATCATTAATCTATGTAGCAAAGTCAACTCTCAAACTACAATCGTGTCTAAAAAATGAGAAAAACGAGTATTGTTAGTATATGAGAAAAATGGGTCTTTAACCATTTTTACAAAAGCAAAATTTCATGTTTTGTTGAGATTGGTCTCGTAGAAAATTTGGCAATGAGGAAAACGAAGAACCAACCATCAGTAAACGATAGTAAATGATGGTAAATGAAGATGAGAGAAGAACTTAGAATAAGAAATATAATCAACTATAGATTTTTGCTGGACAGCTGGGTATCTTCATAGTTAATGTGTTTCTTTTGAAGGAGTATTGTTATATTTGAATGAAATTTTGTTTATCGAACCATATGAGGATACCTATTGCATTGATCGTCGAAGAATTTCCAATAAAAATGACGAAGAAGAAAATATCACCAAAAATTCATTTTTATCGTTTGTAGACAAAAGTCTAGTCAGTAAACAGAAACGTTTAATTCTAAGTTATGATGACGATTTTCTATCAAATCAAGCCGATGTAAAAGAACATCTTCGATATTTACCCGATCCATTTCGTCTTGTTAAAGCTTTAGAATACGGTTTGCCAATGTCATGTTCGTTACATGTCGTTGTCGATTATAACTTCTATAAACATATTGGAGGTGAAAATGAAATTGTTACATTACGAGAAATATTGATTTTAATCGAAGCAGCTGATGTTATACTAAGGTACAGTACGTATGAGAATAAAATGATGAATTATGATGATGTCGAACAATTGTTTATTTAGATCCCAAGATTTTAATATTGATGAGAAACCGGACGGAATTGGTTTACGCGTTAAAAAAGTGTCAATATTAATGGATGAAATAAAATCGACAAAAATATTTGGTAATGTAAATGAAGTCATATTTACAAAAAGTTTAGAATATTTGAGTAGAGCAAATATGTTTGAAAATTATTGTCTGGGTATTGGACTGGTACATCGACAATGGAAAGAGAAAGTGATTGGTGCAGCTTATGTTGGTGGGCATAATCGTCCTGGAGGCATATGTGAACCGTCTCTAAATTCCACGGATGGTGTTCGAAGTTTAAATGCACTTATTATAAATTTTCGTAGTGCTAATGATATCTTCGATCAATCGAGTACGTTTACAAAGTTCAATTTTCTCCTTAACGATATGTTTTCTTCTCTATAGAACTCTATATGAGCGTACTTAGTCTGCTACATGAAATTGGACATTCATTGGGCAGTGATCATGATGAACAACATCACACAGTAAAAATAAGTGTTACTTCTTTTCGTTTAAGAATATCAATGATTTACTTCACTTTTCAATTTAGAATTCATCTAGCATGGGTAATTATATTATGTATCCATTAACAAATAGTGGTTATCGTCCAAATAATTATCATTATTCTTTAAATAGTCGACGATATATATGGGCATTTATTTTTTATCGTTTAAACTGTTTTGATCTTGATGTTAACTCATATTGTGGCAATGGTATGGTAGATAAAGATGAAGAATGTGATTGTGGAAATTCTGAATATTGTCAAATAATTGATCAGTGTTGTACACAACAAGAATGTAAACTAAAGACACATGCTCGCTGTTCACCAAGTACATCAGCTTGTTGTACTGATCAATGTCAGCCTAAAACATACGGTGCAAAATGTCAAATTGAACAACAGAGAAAAAATGATTGTATTCAACAACAAAATTTCATATGTAATGGAGACGATGTTTATTGTTCAACGACGCATATTTATCAAGATAAACAATTAGTCAATAGTGATATGGGTAGCCTATATTTTGATTTGAGACTAGCAGTGATTTCAGGATTATGATAATTATTCAATAGATTTCTTATATTTTAGACGAATATACTGATAGAACATGCAATGATGACACGAGTTTGTGCAAATACGATGAATGTCTTGATGATCTATGTTCACTATTAAATTCCACAAAATGTGATTGTCCAACTCCGATTGATCAATGCAAAATATGTTGTTACAGTACTTTGCAAGAGTAAGAGCATCATTGTAACTTAACATCCATGATAGCAATCATGAGGTAATGAGACATCTTTGAAATATGCAATTGCTTTATGTATTATAGGCAACGTTCGCTAACTCGTCAAGTTTGCTATTTCAGAGATATTTCACCACCATTGATCCATCTTTGATCCGAATTCTCCCTCGCGCAGCGCTTAACCTCGTAACTTTATGTAACTGGTTTAAAAACGTTAGAAACTATTTCCTGAAAATATGAGATCAAACGGATATTCCTTAGTCAAATTGCGGCTACTTTTTTAAGAATAATCCAAAATGGCAAAAATAACTGTGACTCGTAAGATGACTATAATTTTGACATCAATAAACATCAACATGTGAGATTCATACGGTATATAGATAATAGTCAGTGACACATTTTAGTGCAAGTCAATTACTCATTGGGTCAGAAGTTAGTTACATTTCAGTTAGAAAATGAGATATCTTCAGAAACCATGTATCTAAATAAGCTGAAATCTTTTTGTTGATCACCATATAACAAAGCGGACATTCACACAAAACTTCAATTTATTGGCCATCTTGGATGTTGAGTTGCAAAGTTGTACTTACTTTTCTAGCATATTGCATCATCAAAATACAACAACCCGATGCAAACCATTCGAAACTAATTTTACAAAGAAAATATTTTATAAAGCTATTGGTAGTTCATGTAATAAATCCTCGGGTTTTTGTGACAAACAACATGTATGTCAGACATTTTCACTTTTAAATGATCAAATTGAATATTTTCGAAAACAAAAAATTAATTTCATATCATCAGCCTATTGGTTATTAACTAGCACACCCATACTATTAACATGTATTCTGTTTCCGTTTGCAAAACGAAACAAGAGAAAGAAAAGAGCACAGATGCCATCGACATTATCAATGACGAAAGATATAAAAGGTACTAATACTATTGAGTTTTGTTCATTTATTATTGTTATTTTTTGTATTAGAAATTGTTAATTCGGATTCGATATCTGCTCTTGATAATCAAAAAGAAGCGATCCCTCGTACGTTTGTTGACTTGTATAAACTCGAACGTTTAAAAAATTTATTTCATCGAAAACATTCACTAGAAAAATATGAATTGAAACTCAAACAAGTAAAAAGTCATCTAGATTTAATTCTAAAACGGTTACATTTGATGTATCCTCAAATGTTAGAAGAAAAGATGAAAAGAAATTTACCACAATGTAAGTATAAGGAAGACGTAGTATTTCATGAATTAAAAACAAACGGATGTAGATTAATTCGTCCATCAGAAGTTGATATATCATTAGAAAACAATTTGAAAACACTGACAGAAATAAATGATGCAATAAAGAAATTGTTATAAAAAAGTTTTATAATAAATAAACAAAGAGACAGATTGAACTTATCAAGTCAGTCTTTAGAATATGAACAGCTGATGTAAAGAACAAGGGAGAAAACCAGACTCAAAATGTCGAGTCTTTGACAACTGCGTAATGTTGATAAATTTTTTCTATATAAAAAGCTCATATACAGAAAGGACAATCAAAACTACTTACAAATGTATCTTACCTTCATATGTTGCTTTGAGGATTATTCTGTAGAGTGAACAAGTTTAGCAGTGTGTGCTTGTTCTAAAAATTAAACTCTTCGTTCGCATATTTAAGAACACCGATAGCTGTGCTCATTGTTTTCTACTAAATTCAGACTTCCGATGACGGTTACATTTAACAAGATAGTTTTGAATGATACGGAAAACTCTGTAGTTCGTGAAGATTACTATCGTTTTTAAAATATAATACCCTTGACTATTTTTGAATAACTCAATAACGACAGACGATAAAAACTTGTAGGTTTCATCATTCGGTAGTCTAGATTTTAATTCATCTTTTCATAACCAAAGCGAATTTGAAAAACTTTCTCAAAAAACGATTTTTTAAGGATCTCTGAAGAGCCGCTTTATAAATGGAAAAGCTAAGGTAGCAATACAGTGTTTTTTTCACAAGTGAATAGCTCAAAGCGTCTTCTTTCAAATAATTGAAAATGGAGACCTTGATTAGAACCTTGCCTCTATTCATAAACAATTTATAAAAAAAGATTAGAAACATTATGGTTTTCCAAAAGGATTTATAAAAAACTGTTGAACAAAAAAATTGTTTCTCAATTTTTGCGATAGCATAGTTTCGTTTAGCAGACAAAATTAACCATATCCTGAAGCTTTCAACTCGTTCTGATGTTATTTGAGTGTATTATGAATTTTTTCGCCACACGTGGAAATACGGTTTTCATTAGGTTTTAGATTTCTTTTCAAAAATAAACCTTGCCACTGGATTCAATGTGGTCGATTGCGTATGTTTCATGCGTTTTCAAAATTACTCCAAGTCATTGAGCACTAGTTGTGGATCTCCTTAAAAATCCCATACCACGTCCGTATCAATCAAAACCAAGGTCTCCCGTTAGACTCATTTGAAAGAAGACGCTTTGAGCTATTCACTTGTAAAAAAAAAAAACAATATATTGCTACCTTGACTTTTCCAGTTATGAAACGGCTTTTCAGAGATTCCTAAAAAACCGTTTTTTGAGAAAGTTTTTCAAATTCGCTTTGGTTTTGAAAAAAAGATGATTTAAAGTCTAGGCTTTAATTCAAAAATAGTCAAGGACGTTATATTTTGAAACGATAGTAGATAACTACTCAAAAGTGTCTAAAATAGATAATATCAGTATATTTTTTGACTAACTTTTATTCATCAGGACTCACATTTTATTTAATAAAAATATCATATACGGAATCAGTGGCGCAAACTGAATCGAATGATGTCAGTAAATGGCCAAACTTTTTAAAAAGTTATTTTTGGAGTAGCGATCATAGTTTCAAACCAAAAATTATATATGGTTAGATGCGTAATAAAATTCTCTATCGAACCTGCTATTCAGCTTTTTGATACTTTCAAATTTTTAAATCCGGTAGGGTCCTTTGTCGTTTGACTTCGATTTAACCCCTCTGCTTTAACGGCCTCAGGGCACCTCTGCATACCGACAGCAGATTGTGAAGAGTTCTCTACGATCATTCACGAAAAGGAGATCGAAAATAAATTGAGATACGTAAAAACATTCTGAAAATCAATATTTCAATTTTCTCTATCTACCAGCAATAGAAATCTCAGTTCATCATAGGCTATTCTCTGATCTTTGAAATATTCGACAAATTATAGTTGTTCAACTGTCTTTGAAATTAAAGCGCTTGTTCATTTGATGTTTCGGCATTTTAAAAGAGATTTAACAAAACAAAAAACAAAACAACCGTCTATATCGAAGAAGAAGAAAAAATGAAATATAGCGTCGTCGGATACGTCTTGAAGGTGTATTACACGTACGTATGTCTCTTTTCCTCTTATTCTTGTGCAGTGATAATTTTTTTTACTTTCGACTGGAAAAGCTTTTTTGTATCTCTCTATGTATATGAACTGTATTTCCTCTATCTGCAGTATACAGTCAAAACATTTTCTTCTCTTCAATGTGTGAACTGATCTCATAATATATAGCTATCTTACTTATTGCTTCTGTATGTTTTTTTGTTAATTGATGAAAGAAGATGTTGTCGTTATTTTATTTCTAAAAACAAAATCTTTTTGAAAACGAGGTAAGCGAATACTATTTTTTTCTATTGAAAAATACATATTTTCATTCAAAATAGATGAACATTATAAATTAGAATTGTAGATAAAATTTGATCATGTGTTTTTCTCACTGATACTTTTGACAATTATTGTATTTTTCTTTTTATTCTTTATCTTAGAATGTATAGTGATAGTGAATGTACACATAATTCTCGTTCAATGTATTCTCATCGTACTCAATCTACTAAACCATCTACTCCTCACACAATTCAAGATATTTTAAATAATCCTGACACATTAACATTATTAATTAAATATTTAACAGCCTATGGTAAACGTTCATTAGGTGAATTTTGTGCTGTTGTTATTGGTCTCAGAGAACAACAACAAGAACAACAACCGATAATTCGTGATATTGTACGAGCTGCTTATAAACAATATATTGAAAATCTTGAACAATCATCATATTGGTTATTAGGTAATATTCGTTCGAGATCATAATATCTACTAAAAAAATTTAATAGATATTGCTGATAATTGAAAGTTTAATTTAAGATTTATTCTCCTCTAATTCATTATAAATGAAAATGAATTCATCAAAGTATTTCAGACTATCGATAAAAGAAAAATCATTTTTGTATAAATAGATCCGAAAATGTTTGTTTAGATTTACAGTAAATTGGAAAAAAAAGTTAAATTCACGATCCATAAGAATTTAAGATATTCTTAAACGATTGTTCAAGTTTTTCTCTTGTCAATAATCGTGGATGATTGATTTAGAAGATAATATTATCGTCGTAGGAAAGATTAGGTAACTGTTAGTATTTTTGACTGTTTAGATTCTACACGTGAACAACTTTATCGTGAATATAAACGTGGTAATTATACTCAATATATATTCGATCAAGCCTTCCTCGATGCTATTTCATATATTCAACAAAATTTTTATTCAAATTTTTTATCATCAAATTTATGGACACAATATTTGAAACAACAACAACAACTTCAAAAATCATCATCGATAACAACATTAGCGTGTGTCGATGATTTAAAAAATATCAATAGTCGCTATTATAAAAATATTAAATTGGAAAAATCTTCAATATCAACAAAATCCACGAATAATTACAGTATTGATGGAACAACAACAAGAAAAACACCAAAAAAATTAAATTTATCGTTATCAGCAGTGAATACCAGATTACAGCAACAACATACGAATAATAGTAACAGCAACAACAAACATCGAGAATTATCATTTGATACAAGTAAAACGATTCATATGAGTAAGTGAACTTTGTTTATTTGAAGAATTCACTGATGCCTTTTTTCAATGAAAGATATATTTCAGTGGATATTGACAGCTCCTTGTAGATTGGAATCGGATGAGAATACTTTATAGTGTTAAAAAAGTATTCAATCAAAGAACTGTCTTCTGTGAATTCATTTAACATCTCTGCCTATTTGTTTGTACTTTACTCAGTTGACTTGAGTTATTTAATGTATTTTTTTCTCTTGTCTTTTAGATTCATCATCGTCATATGATGTCAATGATGATTTGAAAACTGTTGTTTCTCACGTAAAAACTCCATTGGCATGTTTTATTCCTGGTTCAGATGTTCCATTTATGGTTTATTTACCGATTCCGGTCACTCAGGTGACTCTGAAAGATGTTAAACCTCGAATAAATCAGTTAGCAAGTACAAAATTACCTCCATCACATTCCAAAGTGCAATGTCATTATTATTTTAAACGTCGTGTTCAGGACAATGAATTGTGGTTAGATGATAATAAAACACAATTTATTTATGAAGAAATTGAACAGGATCTAATGATTGTACCAAATTTAGGTGGTACAATAGTGGCAAAATTAGATTATTAATTTTTTTTTGTTGGTTGTTTTTTGTATATAGACATTTTCATTGTCTGGTGCATCATCATAATGAATGATAAATAATTATTAGTGTTTTTTTTATAAAGTTCAAAATAGAATCAGAGCATGACTTTTAACACGAAGGTCAATACTGTAAAAAGAACAGACAACTACATGAATGGTTTCGAATCTATTTTGTGATCTTCCTGAATGCAGATCGCCACCTTGTATATGGCATCCGCTGGAGTGGAGCCGAACTATTCACAACGCTTATAATCTTCTCTCACTTTTGTATGTCCAATTTTGAACTGCTTTTACCAGAGACCAGATTTCTCACGTTTTATGAGAAAACGTGCTTAGCTGTTACAAAAATCTAACTTTTGCATATAAAATTTTCTTTTAAGAAAATATTTATGATAGAAGAATACAAAGGTTAAATAATATAGATTTTAAAACAACTCATATTTCTCAAGGTTCAATATTCTGTACAGATGATAATGTCCCTTCCCTTCTTTTTGACATTGAATAAAAAATTCTTGAATGTTTGATGAATTAGTAAAAGAATGATAAATAATTGTTTTAAACTATATGAATGATCAATCAGAAATCATTTTCTAGTATGGATTAATACAGCAATGTCTTTCGTACATACAGTGGGCATTTTTCTATAGATCAGCCGAACATGTGTTTCTTTAATTCAAAAAGAGACTATTTTTGCCCAGTACTACTTTATTACGTTTTAAATGTTATTATAAATTAAAAAAACCCGAATTCAGGAAAAAAAAATTTTAGACGAAAAATCCCTGAAATTTTATCTAAAAACTTTTTATTCAAAAAACGAGCAAGTTATACCTCATTCGATGCAGTTTTATGTGCTGATTCTAAATATCACATTATCTTTTATACAAATGTTTCTGAACTGAGAAAAATGCATTTTACCTAAAAAGCAGCGTGTTTTGGAATATAACTAAGCTCTGGAAAAAAACTGCATGCAGAATAGATACAGGACATGTCGATGGACGTTTTCGTGCAATTTTGGATCAAATTTGACCTTGGATGTCCGTGGATACCTCATTACATTCTAAGTCGGCGTATGGGAATACGATCGGTTTTGAAAAAATGTGTTTTCTCCTCAATCTGAACAAAAAACTTAGTCATAGATGAATAGCTAAGAGTTTCTAGACTAAGAATATGTAGTTTTTATAAATTCAAACCGACTTAGTTCAATATAAAAAATGATTTTTTGCGAGGTCGCTAATATAAGCTATTATTTGCAGGTAACTATTGAACTTCTATTGAAAACGAACACTTGAAACAAAAGTTTTTAACGTCATTAAATAGCTCGTAAACTGAAGCATATTTCAACAAACAGATTTTCATTTTTCTCTAGCTTTTCTTATGTTCGACTGTCCGAACTCAGTTTGAATAACTTAGATCGTTCCTTCTTACTGTTATTCAGCATCGAAATACTAATTCCAAACGTTTGCTAATTAAGACTGTGAGAAACATCAGAAATAAAACCTAAACAATTTAAATTCCCTCTGCCATTTTCCAACTTTTCCCTCTTTCTTTCGCTGTAAAGTCGTTCGATAGTATTGCGCCAATCAAGAGTAAAGCTGTTCGAAGTAGGTAGTACAGAGTAAAGGGATCAAGAAATGGTGATTCGAAAAAAACAACATAAAAAAAAGCACACCTTCAAAGCTGAACGATCACTTTATGACTCTCATTTTGGGTAAAATAACGTCTTTACCGTCAAACGAAGCAGTGATATTCACATTTAAGCTGGGGCCTGTTTCTTAAAAAAACTTAAGTAGAAAATCTTACTTAAGTCAAAAAAGACAAAGACTTTTTTGGACTTAAGTCAGATTTTCTACTTAAGTTTTTTTAAGAAACAGGCCCCTGATCTATTTTCGCGTGCTCGACAGTATACTGAAGCTAGAGGCCATTTTATCATATTCTTAAGAACCATTTGACTTAAGTAGCTAGGTAGCTATCTAGCTTAAGTTATCGGCTTAACTTTAACTAAGTAGTTATCTGGCTCAATTCTAAATTTAAATTGAATACTACACCTCTATCAATGAAGAAACAGTAGTTACTCAAGTCAAAAAACTACTATTTAACTTTTTTGTATCAACAACCACGTTAGCCACGCTCAACCTGAGTTTTCGGACTACTCACCAAATTGATAAAATGACCTTGTGCAGCGCTAATTGAAGAGCACGAAAAATAAGCAGATGTGATATACGTAGCTATGCATTAAGCCATTTTATCGTCTAGAATTAATAAAAATACATAAAAGTAAATGAAATATAAATTAGCAAATATCAAGAACATAGATCGAAAATATTTGTCAAACGTGAATGTATTATTAGGGAAATTTAACGATTTGTTTTTTAGTGCAGGATTACAGTTTTATTTGTTTGTTTGTTTATTTAGTTAGATTTACAGTAAATGCTGATGTCTTGCAAGAGTTATGTGATCGAACTACGAAAAAATGCAACTAGAGGAATTTTGAGAATTATCTACACCTGTGTTTTAATGGAAGATTTTATAAACGATTATGTATTATTTCCATTTAACGAAGAAAAGAGTGGGAAATATTTTTTTATGGTGAATATTTCCCTAGTATTTTCTTCGTAAATTAAATAAATAACAGTAGAAAACAAAGGTTATCTTTGTTTTTCTATTGTAAGTTACGCTGTACAAAGAATTCTAGAGAATACGAATGATTTTGGAGTGTTCCATTTTTCTTTGACAACTACAATTTTAACAGTATGAAACCGTTCTCTATACTCTATTCTACCTCAGCATTATCAGCAAAATTCATTTTTAATTATTTTAGATTTTAAATATGCATCATTCTTCCGGAAACTTGTATCTAATGGTTTATGAACGTACAGAAGAACATTCAATTGTGGATAGTGGCTATGATAATGAAAATCGGATGTTGTTGATAAATGTGAAATATTTTGATTTCCTTCAAGCTATAAATGATCTCGAATCTCTGTTAACGGTTCAGATTTAAATTTATATGGATATCATTTCAAAAGCTATCAAATCTTCTTCGATTACAGATCAATCACAACAATTCCATATTGTTCATTGTAAGTGCATTCTTTCATTTTATATTGTTTTGCTGATAGAACTTGTGTATGTGCTTCTTATTTCATTTTAGTGCAATATTGATTAGTTGAGGTATTTGTGTTAAATTATTGTTTACATTATGGACACATTTCAAAGTGAAAGTAAATAGTTTGAATAGTGCACATATTCAATACAATCAAATTAATAAGCAATCAACCGATGTGGCAGTGACATACATTAGCCATTATTAAAAAATGAAAACGAAGTAGAAGTTATGGTGAAAACAAAGCGAATGATTATAATTTAACATTCTTTTTGAGTGTCTGCTATTATATTGACGGAATAAATCTTTTACTTTCATATGATTGTTTTCTTTCTTGACTTTTACTAGTTTGTTTCTACACCAGATAGGTGCGGTGCATCACATTTTCTTCATTCATTACATTTACTCTATAAATAGTGTACGTGAAACGTCGGTGTCTTCTATATTTCAGATTTTTGTAAACAATAATGTCTACAGCCGTTCCAAAAAATGTGTCACCTTTTATTCGAGCTTGTCGTTGGGGTTTATTACTTACCGGTGTTGTCTACGGTCGAAGTCATTATAAAACAGTGAAAGCAAAAGAAGAAAAAGTACATGAAAAAGAAATTGATAAAGCAACACATCATTATATACAAAAATTAGGTGAAAAAAAAATTATGGGTGAACAATCAATGATCGAATTAGCACGTGCAGCCGGTGTTGATCCAAATCGTGCACAAGTTAAACAGCAAATAATTGACAAACAACATAATGATGGTACATTAGTATCAGCATCATCGAAACATTAGAAACAGTAATTAATTCATTCATTCATTTAGACATTTTTTTTTCCGTTGCACTTTCCTCCTCTAGAATTTAGTGTTTCTTTCTTCACTTTTTTTAAAAACAAAACCATTCAATTAGAACTTGCCATGTTTTTCTTTTTCGATAAAATAAAATTTCTTATAATAGCTTCTTTTTGATTAATAAGATTAAGTTAAGAGAGTAGGGATGATTTGTTGTTGAGCCCGTCGTTTGAGCATTAATTATGTATACAACTGTCTCGCATCAAGCCAAGTTGTTTAGTCCGCTAGATAAGTCCGTGGGGAGTGTGATGAGAGAGCAAACTTATAAAGGTCACAAAAAAATGGCATTGATAATAATAGATTACACCGAGTCTTCTTCTTATTCAGTCACTTTTTGTAAAACTCCAATATAGAGAGATGAAGTTTATACTCAAATCTGCAGGTATTCTGGCGACTTTTTATCCACATTCTTTTTCTTCATGTAATTTTATCCGAATTTAAAATCGATACATTTATTAACGAGCCATAAGAAAAACAAGCTGAAGCTATTAGATTGAAGCTAAGCTGGAGGAAAAAAATAGAAACACGTAGATTAAATCCTTAATTACTCTATCAAAAGAAAAAATTCCCATTTTACCAATACAGACGAAAAATATACAGAAATGTAAAAAATAGTCGTACAATATCATTATTTTAGAAAGACAAATATTTTAAAAGATAAAAATATGTGAAACGGAATTCTTATCGCATAACATAAAGCAAATTAATTGAAGTTTTTTTGGCTCCAATTCTCTTTCAAAAAAAAATATTTTTCTCTATATTCTATCAGCTAATGTGTGTGAATTTTGTAACGAAACTGGTTGTTTAATAGATCGAACCCTAGTATTTTTAATTTCATCATTAATATCGTTATGATGATCATAGTAAGCATCATCTTGTTCTTGAAGAATATTTTCTTGAATTGGTTGCATTGAATCTTTCATTGGTACAATTGTGTGATTTGGCATTATAATAGAATCTTGATTTTGATTATAAGATTGACAGCCTGAGATCTTTGGCGATGTTATTGGTGAACGAATGGGGCCACGTGATCTTGATGGAATAACGGTACCCGATGTACTACCACCACTTGTCGATAGACTATTCGATGATGTATTCAGTGCATTTGATTGTCTTCTAATTTGTTGAGTAATTTGATTAGCTACTTTAACGCTATTAGCCACAATTTTAAATTTATTTTTTAATTTTGCCACGTATTCACGATCAAGACGTTCCATTTCTCGTCGTCGTCCATACGGTACACTAAATAGCCAAATAACAAGTGCCACATGAATGGTACAGTAGATAATAAATAATGCAATGAATACATAACGATCAATTAAGACGCATGGATCCGCAGGTGATATGTTAGAATCAAATCTTTTTGTCAAAAATGTAACAGCACCAATTACAGAATGCCAAACACACAGTAAAACAAGAATAATTATTGAAACAATAGCATATTTATCTAACGTTGTTAAATAGGATATTGTCGGCTAGAATGAATTGAATCAACAAGATAAAATTTGATGATGTTTAGCTTCTTAGTACTTACCAGTGAACGATTGACAACCCAGCGAAATGTTACGGATGTTAACAATAGAGTACACGTTATTTGTAAACGATTTTGAGGAAGACTAGAAATAAAATGAATAAACTGAAGTATAAAGGGTGACCAAGAAGTACTGTCTTATTCAGTATTTTCTCAATATCTCTGTCAAGGTTAATCGCCAAGTTTCAATCTTTTTTTAAAAAAACCTCATTCAATTCTCTACACAAAACATATTAAACATTTCTTTATAAGAATAAAAAAATATAGAGAAAATATGAGAAAGCTTCAATATCGATTACTTTCAAAGCCAAAGCCCAACCAAAAAATATTTATTTTAAACACGGAGCTATGCATCAAACTTTTCTGATGCTCCAGAATGTCAGTTTTCTTTTCTTGTATCATAAGTTCGTTACAAACTTTTTTTCTGCCACGAACGAAGATTTTACTAAAAGTAAACAAAACGTTTTATTTCTTTGCCTTGGCACAGGAAATGAAACGGGGCTATTCAACTTTCTCTGTTCGGATGTAACAGAAGTATTATTTTGCTTTAAGATAAACTAGATCTAAAGTCATAATATACGATTTGGATCAAATCATACAAATTTTCGTAAGTGTCTCAAAACTGCGGTTAAAAAATGATGAGTTTGGACAAAATCGCCAAAAGAAAAAGAATCCTCCTGTGACCGCTTGAGTCTATGAAGAGTCTTAAATATAGCCAGTTGATAGAGCTTTTCGAGAACTACAAAATAACCATGTTCTCTTTTTTCATATCGTAAAATATAAGGAACTGAAATTGAAAAACCTGTTTTTTGGCTTTGAAAGTACTCGATATTGAAACTTTCCCATATTTTCTCCATATTTTTTATTCTTATAAAGAAATGTTTAATATGTTTTGTGTAGAGAATTGAATGAGGTTTCTTTTTTAAAAAAAGATTGAAACCTGGCGATCAACCTTGATCGAGATATTGAGAAAATACTAAATGAGACAGAACTTCTGAACCATCCCTTAGTTAAATGATTCCATTATCACTTAGATTTTGTTAGTTAGTACATTAGCTAGTATATGAGATTAGTTTAATCTTTCGTACTTTGGTGGTATGGCGAAAATACAAAATGCACAAACAGTAATTAAAAATATAAGACAAAATCCGTTCCAATAATAGTAGCCCGGTCGACGTGCTAAAAAGAAAATCATAGAAAATACATATATATACGGTTTTTTTTATATAGTTAAAAGATAAAATATACAAACCCGCTCGACATGTAACAGAGAAAACGGGATGTTTTTTTTGTTCTAATGATTCTTCTTCAAATGAATATTCTTCTTTTGTTTCTCGTCCAACTGTAGCAACATGTTCATATAAATTCCATTCTTGTTGATCAACAAATGCTTCACGATTAATTCCCGATGGTAAATTTTCATCTTGTTTTAATATAATATGTTCAATATAATGATGAGTTGTCAATGATATTGTTAAATCTTGTACATCAGCTGGAAAATGATTTAATTCTAATTTTTCCCAAAATACACCGTTAATTCGACGATGTTCACATATTTCTAAAGTTAACATCATTGACATTGTTGTTAGTGGAGATGTTGAAACTTGATCAATTTTTTTAATTGTAAACCATTTTACTTGTTCGCCTAGAGTCAACGGTGAGACTAATTATTTTAATTTAATATAAAATTTAAAAAAACAAAATTTCATTACCTATTTGTCCAATTGCATTTTCAATAAATAATTCTGGTGACCAATATGTATTAGAATTTAGATCAGCAATTCGAACTGATTTTCCTTCGGCTAATTGTTGCTGTTGTTGAGGTGTTAAATTTAGAGAACTCGTTATTATTGTTGTATCTGTCCATCTGGCTTCAATATACGCTTCAGCTTGATATTTTTCGTTTAATGTGTCAATTTCACCTAAATGAAAATTATATATTATTAATCTTTATTTTATACATTAAATATTTTGTTGTTGTTATTGTTGTTTTTTTGTGCATACCAATTCTAAAGAAAATCAATCGAATGCGTACAACTTTTGCTTGGCAAATAGGATCGGATAATTTTGTTTTGATATTTGTTATAACAGTTGATTCGGACGTTGTTGAATTATCATTATGGTCAACAGTTCGAGACTGTTTTGATCGAAAAAAACCCATTGGTAGATGAACACAACAATTATCTAACACTGATTTATTATTATCAAATGAATTGTAATAATTATTGGACGCGTGAATTGTAGAATCATAATGTTGTTGATAAGAAAAACAATTTGGTTCTTTTGTTGTTGTTGTTGTTGTTGTTTCTAAAACGTTTTTGTTTAATGACGTCTGTAGTGGTGAATAAATAATGGATGGAACAGATTTTGATTTTTGATGGTTGTAAGAATTTTTATTCAATATTCTAAGATATTCACGAGATGTGGATAAGGATTTTGTGAAAGTGGGTTTAACTACACGATGATTGTCCGATTGATCTAAAAATAAATAGATTGAAAAACAGACACTCTTAAATTTCAATAGAGAAAAAAAATAAATGAGGCGTCAAGTAGACGAAAGTGATTACATTTGGTAAAATTAAGGATGATAGACGTATGAGAAAATGTTTAACTACATCTCAGTTAAAACAAATCTAACATTCTCAGTTAACAAAAAACAATCTGATATTCTTTATAAAAAGTGCATTTGAGTAATATTTGATATTAGTTAAGGTAATAAATACTCCTAAGTAAATAAGTAAAAAAATAGATTATTTTTATTGATTTATTTTCAAAAAATATCATATGTTGCTCTTATTTAGTTATACGATTCATTATTCATTTTCTCAATTTTTAACCGTAGAATTTTAAGTGTGTAGGCTATAACATCTTATGAGAATCATAAAAGAAGAACATGATGAACTGTTTACTAAATTTTTTTTAAACATATGTTTTTAAAAAAATTAAAATGAGAAAATGACAAAAATATTTGAATCTGTCTAAAAACTATCTTCATTTAAATTTTCAATAGTAATAAACTGTGAATCTGTTAGTGAATATCAATCTAGTCTTAGATCTCGAGCTAAACTGAATAATAAAGTGTTTGTTTAGAACGTAGAACTTGTCAAAATATTCAAAAAGTATGTTAAAAAGTACGTACAATAGTTCTGATAACTATTTTGGATAATGAGTTAATTTCTAGTAAATGTAAAAAAAATTCTCCTCCTTGCTTTGAAAACTATTGAAAAGAGTTCCACAAATACTCGCTTTTCTTTTAATATATTAGAATAGATCAGAATATGAAGATTTAGATGTATAGTACTGATATCTCGTAATTGTTCTTTTGTTTTTCTCTATAGTTTCAGTCTAGCAGTAAATCCGGAAGCGTGATAACAATTTTTAGTGTTCACAGGCACGATGACAAGTAGAGTCAACTCATTCTGAAAAGTTGAATCGTTTGAAGAGTGAAGAAAAACGCTTAATGTTCTATGATGGTGGTCATGATCGAGGCTTACATCTTACTGAAATTTCTCTTTACAGTAATTTTGTGTATATAATTTGATGAGAATAAGTTTATTTTTCTCAATTACTTTTTAATAAAGAGGTGTTTCTAACTATTGTATAGAAAGAGTGGTTGGTTGCTTTACTCAACTTGTTTTTTTTTGTTGTTTTATACTATAACTAGATTGATTCATAAGCAGGCTTCACTGGAAAATTATGATTATTCTCAAACAAAAGACCATTTCTTTCAATATATTTTTCAAAACTTTATGCATCAGACAGACATACTTGTTTGTATCTATAGACTGTTACAAACCGTACTAGGTAAAAACATAAAGTGAAACATCTTTTGTTATATTTTAGAACTCTTCATCGTTTTAGCATCATATTAAATAGTTAGCAAGAGAGAAAGTAAGTTAGATAGCGCACATCGATGCAAATGTCTGACAATGACTAAATTGTATATACTGAGAGAAATATTCGTAGAATACAATTATAATTTCTAAAAAAATACTATATCGACTCATAAGTAGACATTTGTGCGCTCTTATCGAGCAAAAAGCCAATGTAAGAAATATTCTCACCAAATGTGCCTCTAACCAATGAAAAACTTTTGATACATTCAAATAGAATTAGTGGAAGTTTTCTAAGACTTTTTTTATTGTTTTGATGAGAACTTTGATAGTTTTGTCTTCATGTAGAAATTTTGATATTTTTGAAGTAAAAATGAAATAAAAAGCGGTTGTTGAAGGATCAAGAACAACGTCCAGTTTTTCTCTTTAGAAAACTTGATTAGACCGATCGATGTGTGTCGATCAGTTATACCCATAGGATAAAATTTCACTTTCTTTTGATTCATGATCAATGACAAAAATCTATTTGAGGGAAGTTTTTCCACACCTTCACTTTGAGTTAGTGTATAATAAATCTTGAACATCATACTAAATAAAACTCTTACAAAAAGTCTCATATAAAGAAACATAGGAGCTGTAGTTTTTCAAGAAATAGTGTATTATGAATAATATAAAGATTTGGACGTACAAATTTTTATTTAAACGACAATTACCACCGCTAATCTCAAAAACAAAAATAAAAATTCTATTTTGATGCCGTCACCGAATATTTCTTTTATTGAAACAAACGGTCTACTTATGATAGTCACTGAATAACTTACTTTCTCATTAGCTATCCTTTAATTTGTAGAAAGTCAATGATTTTAATTCAATAACCATGTCGTTTTGTATTTTGCTGAAAAAAAACAACAAAATATGCCCATTGATCGTAGGCATTTTATATTTGTAAGAAATGCACCTGTCCAATGATACATTTTTCTTTGTTTTATGTTTCTTGAAAATAAATAGAAATGATATCATATTATTTTACCTTCTTTTGTTGTATTTTTTAAAAGAAATGATTTATTGTCTTGAAATAAGGTCTTCAAGCTTTTTTACACATTTGATGATGATGATGATGATAATTTCATTTTCTTTTAAGAATTTGATCTTGTTGAATATATATACGTTAAAAAAAATATCCTCCTTCCGTCCAAAAAGTAAAAAAATAGAAAAATGTGTCATTATCATCATTATCGGTACACAAGATTTAAAAAATGAAAAAGGTACACATATTGTACATCTGTAAAACATATATAATATTTTTAAATAACATAAAGATGATTCATTCGTCCTCAAATCATTTCTTTTTTTAAATTGATATTCTTTGACTTTTTTACGTTTTTTATATAAAACTAAGTATATTTAATATAATTGAAAAACATTTTTGTAAAGTCATTTTACATAAAAAGCGAACTTTTGATCCATCACAGTATCATCATCTCTCTTCTAAATTCGACAGTCATATCAGTCTGATGATGATACTATGACGTATTGAAAGCTCGCTTTTTATATAAAATCATTTTAGAAAAATGTTTTTCAATTATATTAAATCAACTTAAAATCATTTTTTCTTCTTCTAATAATAATAAATTGATTTGAAATGATAATTTTAAATTTTTAGGAAAAAAAACTATCATAGGATTTAAGAGATGATTTTGTTTTCTCCCCTTATTCTTAATAGAAATTCTTTCTTTGTTTTTTTTTATTTGTTTTAAAATAAACAAATACAAAATCTTATACGAAATAATATTCTTACAATAACCTTTAACTTTGGGAATTTTTAAAATCAATAAAAATCCTTGTCTTAAGAAGAAAGAGTTAAAGAATAAAGGTTATGCACTAACTTACACTATTGTGTAAAACTATTTGATTAAGTATTAAGACTATTGACAATGTCTAATTTATAAACGAAAACATTTTTTTGTACCAAAATATCGTTCAAGGCACCAAGTTTGCTCAACATATTTATTATTTAATGCACATATAGTCTAGGACTATAAATATATTTTTTTTAACAAAACAAATAATTCATATTTTGACATATTTTTAGAGTAGATTATCTCTCTATTCTCGTTTGTAATATTGTAACTAATATAGTCAAACATAAAATATTTCAAAACTTGTGTGTAAAATTTTCAACATTTATTTTATTTGAAATTTAAATTTTTATCATACCTTCTAATAGTTTTTGATCTACTTCTGGAAAATCCATATATATTTTATTTTTGAATTAAAATTAGATTTCAATAATTATAAATAAAATCTCATTGATGTTGTTTGATATTGAATCATGACAAAAGTATTTGTTAAATGTGTTTTTTTTTTTCATATTTATAGGAATTATATTTATTGTTTTATGCTCTATTTTTCACTCAATAAATTTACACTTTTTATGCTCGCATGTATCAACAATAAAACTGAATAAAATTCGAGTATTTCAAAATTTATTAGAGAGTTCTTTCTCAAATTTATAAATAATTAGACAATTGTGTTTGTTAAAGTTAAAGTTTTTGTTGATCAATGGGTTTTATGAGTTGTGAGCCAGGTGTTGATAAACTCAAGTTTTTAGTGTATATTTATCGTTAAAATCATCACTGTATTTTATAATAGGATAGATAGCATAGGAGATCATAAATGTGTGTTATGGAACAAACAGAAGAAAAAAAAGAAGAATAAATGACCCAAAAAATCAGTGGAAATTATTGGAAAAGATTAAAATAGAATATGGATGAATCTGAAAAAAAGTAAACTCATGTGATAGTAAAAGTTCAGTTGCATTAAATGATCGTTCAATTATTTTCTCTCTCCACTCAGATACGTCGTTGACTGAGTTACGCTTAACACGTGTTTAAAATTTCAGCTTAGACACTATTTATCTTTTCAAGTCTATTTCCAGTTACGACTGTTTTGATCTAATAGAACAATTGCAACTCATTATTACTACTTACCTATTTATGTATTTTTCTCGTCATTTTACATTTGATTCAGATTGTAGGACTTTGCGCAATTTTTTGTAGAAGTACATTAAGATAGTGAAAAAACTCACTTATCCCTACTTCCATCCTTGTCATTACAAGAAGAAAACTGTCACGAACTAGCATTTAACGTACTACTGCTACTCTGGTCGATATTCACGCAAAAAATTCCTCATTTTTCGTCGGGATTTCCCGTTTCGAACCTCGCCGAAGTTTTCATGGGATGCCTTTAAAAAACCTGTGTAATCGGGAATTGAGTAGAAATTTCATTAATCTTGCAGGATCTTCGGTGGTATTCGCACAGTACAGTTGACTAGGATGTATTATGTTTTTAATCGATTTTTTAGTCTCCTCACACATGTTTTAAATAAGTTGTTCATAGCTATTTCATGCATCGTGGGATCCTGTTGTATCTAGATATGTTTTTAGTTTAGTAGTAATTTGTTTGCACTAATTGTATGTCACATTATGCAGTTATGAAAAGTAGATACTGTTGTCAGCTTGTTTTCAAGATTATATCAATATTAGGTCAAAAGAGTTCATATTTTTTGTGCGTTTGCGCTAGGATTTTTGCTCTATGTATAGACGACATAATAATATGGCCTTCAAAATTTATATTTGAAGAGCTGAAGCTTAGCAACATGTGATATTTCTTGTTATTATCTTATCTTATTTATTTCAGATTTTAGAAATGTTTGAAAAGTTACTTTCAATATCAGTATTGCCTGTTGTAAGTCGGCGATATTTTAGGTAAATATTTAAGTTTATTTAACCGGACGAGTGACTAGGTAATTTAGTTTATTGCTGTATTAGTTATTATTTATTATTTTAGTGTCACATCCGTATTACATCATCTTCAAAAGACAAGTCGTGTAAATGTTGTTGATAATAGTAAATTGGCCATCGATGGTATGGTATATAAACGGCAACCACGAGTTATTCATTGCTATAAACGCAATGGTAGCCTCTCACGTACACGTTTAACAGCGGGTCTCGGTGATAAAGTACTATTAGCAATTAAAGGTCAAATGAAAAAAGCGGTGATTGTCGGATGTAAACAATTGATACCACAACCAAATATGCCAAGATTTGATGCGAATAATGTTGTGCTTATTGACGATGATGGAAATCCAATTGGTACAAGAATTTTAGCACCAATACCAGCATTTTTCAGAACAAGAGGAGATTTAGTAAAAATTGCAGCTATTGCAACTCATTTTGTTTAAGAATTGTTTTTGTAGATAAAATTGACGTTTTTTCATTTAAAAATAAATTTATAAACTATTTAGAACATTGTACTTTAGAGTTAACTTCATCTTGTACACGTAAATTGACCCAGATTTCAACAATTTCTGTTTGACTGCTGATGGTTTTGTAACAATTATACCTTCAATAAGCAGATACATTTTATTGGAAAGAAACTAATATAGAGCAGCCCGTTGTCATTTGGCTGCTTGTTATTGTTGAAAAAGTGTCAGTTTCATTGATAAATATAACTTTATACTAGATAAAGAAGACTAGATAAAAAAAACATTATGTTTTCGATATTAGTTAAGACTTTGAATTAACAAACAGCTTTTAGGTTTTTTAATTTGTTCTCTTCCATTCTCTGTTTGGAGTTTTGATCACTGAAAGTGTTATTTCACTTTCTAATACAAGGGAAAAGTTTTTCATGCTAAAATTGTGATGTATATTGACATATTTTCGTTTGAGATTATTTATAATTTAACATGTATGCAACATATTCTGATGCATTGATAATGGAATATATTATTCTTTAAATACAGTATTTGTTCGATAACTATAGTCACGCGCGAATACTACTCTTTATACTATATAATACGATGCCATATTATTGGATTTTCACGCATCTGTTAGTGCAAGAAAAACTTGTTGTTTTTCTCCATGCGGGTTGCGTGGTAATATTCATCAGAGAGCTCGTTTTTCTTCGAAACTATACCTTTGAGACAGTAATTCTGACGTAGAGAAGTACAGGAATAATGCTCTATTGAGAGCAGCCCTTTTTCGCGACTTTTCTATTGTTTTCTGATTTTCAGCAAGAAAAATACAAGCAGTAGTTTGCACATTAATATTTTGCACCTTAGCATACCACAGAATCGGTCGTTGTGTAACACATGAACTTTCTTTAAAAATGAGATTTACACTGTTGGTTAGCGTTTAGACATTCTATTATTTTGTAAAACAGTGATAATCAAAATCACTTCAATTCGAAAAAACCGGAGTCTCCAGAGACCTTTGGGGAAAAACCATTGTGATATTCGAATTCAGCACATTCGATTATCTATTATCTACTAAGTTTTAGATGAAAAGCGATGGGACGGTTGGTGGCCTTCCCTCGTGAGTAGTCTGCGAGTAGTTTGTTTTTTCGCAAAATCAGTAGGTTTTATATACTACGTCGCTCGACAAAACAAAATGGTGGTTGACTAGTATGAACGGAATTTCATTGGAAATCCCATGATATCTCTGATTCTTCTGTGATTTCCACGAGATTCTTTTGCAACACTTTCCGCTACTGTTAAACTTGACAGAACTAGTGGAAAAATTGGTCGACATGTTCTATGTACGACTTTGTCCGTGTCGCTGTCATTTTCATTTTATTTCATCTTAACATGGAAAAAATAAAACGTTTCATTGATGAATACACGAAGAGTTTAACGCTAACCTTCGAATCAATGAATTTTGTTTATTGAGAAAATTCACTTTTAAACATAATGATTTCTTAGTTCTGCTCTAAACAATTTTATCTTCAAAAATCCCCAGTTTTATGTAGTTTTATGTTGAGTTGAACTATCAGAATTCTTCAGTAGGCAAAAAGCAAAATAAAACATTTGGAACAAAGGAAATAACATCTTTTTTTTCACGCTATGCAAACGGACGACGTCAACGTCGGTATTTTAAAAGAACTCAACACTATCAATGACTATCAAGTCTCTTAGTAAGAGTGCATTAATCAAATATGTCTATAGAAACAGTTTTATAGTCAACAAGCTAGTATCCGTACCAAAATATAATGCAGGTTGCCGTTTCTTTAATAACTCAAAGACGATGATAGATAGAGAGTTGCGGTTTTCACTAATGGAAAGAGGACTATTTTCCTAATCTTTTTATAAGCGAAAGTCAGTTTCAGAAAAATTTCCTAACTTCGTTTTTCAGGAGATCTTTGAAAAACCAGGTCGTGTGTGCGGATTTTCCAATAGGATTGTATTGATTTTTTTTCATGAGCTGATAGCCCGGGATGTTCTCTTGAAAATGGAAGCCAGACGAGACCTTGATTTTCCGTGGTTCGGGCGTTGTCTCGGATTTCCTACGAGTCCCAGGGCTGACACCCGGTGACTACTGGTAGCCTTAAAGACGGATGGACTATGGGTAATCGCCCATGCTGAATCTTGTGGCAATATTAGATTTTAGAAAAAAATTTAAAAATCTAGCGAAAAGCCAGTTTTACGAAAAGTAGGGTTTTCAGGCTCTTTTCACCTAATACTAGAAAATTCATTATTCGCTCAAAATACATCAGAACAAGCTCAAAACTTCAGGATATCATTAATGTTGTCTGCTAAACGTGATTATAAGATCGAAAAGATCGAAAAAGCATACTTCTGTTGATAGGTTTTCCAGAAACCCTTTTGGAAAACCTTAGGGTTTTGTAAAATTTGTCTCGAGATCTCCTATAAACAGGATATAGAATAGCTTAACTACTCTACATTCTGAAGTTTTGAGCTTGATCTGATGTATTTTGAGCGAATAATGAATTTTCTAATATTAGGTGAAAAGAGCCTGAAAACCCTACTTTTCGTAAAACTCGCTTTTC